ACCAGCGAAAACTTCTAATGCCGCCAGGAAATACTGGGAAAAGTGGGAAGTCGCTGTTTGTTGATTGGACGGGATGTGGTGAGGTGTCGCCAGTGGGTACCAATCATGGCCCAGCTTAAAATAGAGTCGGCTGGGGGCAAAAAATGGGCACAGCGTTCGCCAGTGTCAGAAAACACTTTCCTTGCTTCAGTGCTTGCAGTGCAGACAGCCAGTTTACTGTTCTCGCAACGAACTGAGTCACAACGTTTGCGCGTAAAATTTGAGTGACACTGTTTGTTACCTTGTAGAAAAGTCAACGAATCAACCCAAGCTGAAGCTAACGGCCACTCAAAGGGGTGCACTCGAAGACAACTAACAGTGTGAACGCGCAAAACGGAAAGCCAAGAAAAACTGTCGTAAAAAATCAGGACTTTATTCGTATCTAGCAAGAAGCAAGAAGCGCGTATAAAAGGCATATAAAAAGGGCACTGTACAAAAGACATGCGGGCGGGGAGGAAGGCGTGAACGGTCAATTGAGCTAAGCCTGAACACGGCGCGGTGATCACACCATACGATGCGGCAAGGTTCAGCAAATGGAAAGAGCCTGGATCAACTAGTTAGACTGTCAGTAGGAGACTGCCGCAGGATTTTCAGAGCGTAGAGGAGAGTGCCTGTCGCAACCGCCACGTTGAGTGAAGTGGGCAGAGGGCAGGTGGGGGAGTTGGCAAAGTCGGCAGAGGACAAGGCCTCGTCAACAACACCTGGGATGCGGACAATTAGGTTGCAAACGCTAAGGACTTCCGGAGACAGACCCTTGGCTTCAGAACCCAGAGCCAATATAAGAGGTCGGGGTGGGGCCCTAGATCCGGCAGGTGGAGCTCCAACCTTAATAAGGAGTAAATATGTACATACTGTTAATAAAAGCTGTTTTACCAACAATTGACAATATAAACGTTGTGAGCGACGGGGCCTGCCGCATGCCTCACCGGTGACTTGCCCCGGAAGCAAATTTACGAATCACTCACCGCATTCTCTCCTCCCTAATCCGCCTTACCTCGATGGTAAGACAACTTCAACACGACTGGAAATGGGCGTGGTTGATAAAGATACACAACTTGGCCTCACAAAATGTGCCAAGACACCCCACAAAGGCTCCAGTGAGATGAAAACAGTGTAGTATGACTCTCAGTTCTCTAGTCAGTCCAAAATACTCATCATGAAGACTAAGTTATATCTTCAGTGGGCAATCTTCCAAGTCAAGACTTTTGACCTCTCTTGAAAAATGCAGGTGCCTCAAATTTATTACAGCAATAAATGCGCTGACTTGTGATGAGGAGAAAGATTTCCAGCGCCAGCCTCACTTGTAAGCAATAAGCGAATTACCTGATAAGAGGAAAAGGTCGCGAAGTATCTTGCATACTTGCATTTACCGGCTAATTTAATTTTAGGACGGCAACGAATCGGATACGTATGTTACAGTGGATGGTTAAAAAGCCAACCGAATCGTAGTTTTATTAACGAGGCGATTTTACACATTGGTAGGCCTTAACATCATCAGGTACAGAACGGACAGGTTTTGCGTTTGAACTGACGTTGATACTTTGATGATAAATAAATTCCGGCAAAGGCAGACAATTTTTTGGATTGATAATTATCCCAGGCGCCCAGCTCGGATATCTAGCCGTTTCCCGTTGACCACGCAGAATCTCATTCTTGAATCAACAAGGTTGTGCAGTGCGCAGCATTCAAATGAGCTGCGCAAGAAGTATGTTCTAAAATAGACCTGTGGGTGCGGTTGCAATGGAATTCCACTGACGGTTGATTTGCCCGCTTCGGAAAATCCTACTTGATTAAATTACCTACTGAATTATTTATAAGTCTACTAGTAAATTGTCGTAACTCAACACGACTACTTTAACTTGGATGTATATTCTTAATGCAATCCGCAACCTCGAGCGCGTAAAGGCAGAGTCGGCGACGCAAAAATGTTGACAACAATTTTTTCGTCTTTAGGTAGATTAAAGTAAAGTGAAGAAAATCAAAAACTGCCACCCCAGTGCCATCGAATTATGAAACGTTCCCCGTCTAAACGGTCGAGCATATATATGAAGTAACAGATGTTCCAGCAAAGGGAACAGAACTTAATACTTAAATCTGGGTTATCGGAAGAAACATGTATCTGTTTATCTGAATTTTCCAATTATTTCATCGGCAGAAATTAGAGCTATTACAGAACAAGTGAATTATTAAGGGATTATGGCATAACGATTATTTTGGGCTTTTAGTGCGAGTAGAAACTCGACATGCCGGCTTTTTAATATAAAAAGGCACTTTCGGAGGTTACTTAGACAATGCTACAATAAGATCTTGCGTTTTTTATGACACAAATCATACTAGCCGATTTTTATATTATCATGAAAAGCACATAAATGCTTATCCAGGTTGTCTACAGAAAAGGCGCGAGGTGCTTAAAGTTCAAAAAACTGAGCTATTGGATCTGGTGGTCGACTAAACCTATTGTTCTTCTAATTAAATGATTTTGAGGTGGCAAAAAACATTCCTACTAGGAAAAAACTCTCAGGGAGCGATTACAGCACAAAGAAGTAAATAATTGGTGCGACCTTCTAATTTCACATCCACTGTTTTCCGATATTCCGCAAGGAACGGGATATCCAAAAACTGCTAAACAATAAAACAATAAAGAATCACGTCAAGATGTATAGGAGCACAATTACGGTAGAATTCATGCAAGTGAAACATCGTCTACAAGTCGTATCTGGCGGATGCTTTTTGCTGAAAAGCAGCTTTTGATGTTAAAATAAGACCAGTTTTAAAAT